TGTGTGTGTGTGTGTGTGTGTGTGTGTGTGTGTGTGTGTGTGTGTGTGTGTGTGTGTGTGTGTGTGTGGGGTTGAGGGGACTATATGCAGGTCTTTGATTCATTCACTAACTGAAACCACTTACCTTCCCTTTAAACCGACCTTCTTGATTAGCTATGTCTTAGAAACACAAGACGAACATTATGTGGGTGTGCCTCTACACTCATGAGAAAATATCTGATAAGCAGGGTGTAGAGCAGTCTGATGCCTGAACCTGTGGTTAACAGGGATTATTTGCACATCAGCTGACCTCACTACTTGAAACTTTGGTCAGATTAGCATGGGAAAAAAAACATGGCAAAGGAAAATAGTTCCTGTTTATCCCAGCACACAGGTCTTATTTTGAGGGCATGTGGAGTCTATGCTTTTCTGGTTGGCAGCTACTTTGACTGCACAGAAAGATGGGTGGTCTTAACAGTTTGGCTCATTGGTGTGTAGCTCTTCAAAGGGAAAAGCAGTGAATTTGTCTGTTATCTAAATCAACTCAAGCTAACATTTTTGAAATGGAATTCCTGTAAAGTCAAAGTCATAGATTTAAAACTGTGAGATGGCACTCATCCGTAGTCAAGTGCCAAACGAATGAAAACTCCAGTGCTGTTATCCCTCTTAAAGTACTGATAAATGCATGACCGCTCTTCATGAAAAAGGCTACATACACCAAATCAACATATCGGTACCTCTGCACTCTTTATTCAATCATCTCAACTGCCAAAGTCACTGAGTAACATGCAAATATCATCAAAAGCAAAAGCTCTTTCATGTTTCCACCGCGCTAAATATAACCCACCATGAAGTGATGCAGGTTTTATAAGAAGCATGGAGGAGACATATGGAAGTGTGTGAGGCAGTGTCATCTGGCTTTGTTACTATGGGGTTACCAACTACTGACAGTGACTGAGAAAGAAGCTTTTAACCAGCAGGCAAAAAACAATAACAAATAAAAGCTTGGTGTTCAGCATCTGCCATCAGTATCTACTGTATGTCTATATTAGTATGTTCCAAGCTAAATTTAATCGTTTTTGCAACATAAATACTTGCATCAGCTGGCCTATGTATTATAATCATTAATGTTATTGCACAGTATCGATGCACATTAAAGATAGAGATAATTAGTAGTTAGCAAAATCAATGCATGCAGGGATCTCCAGCTTGTTAAGAATGTTAAGAGAGACAAGATAAGTATCACGGCATGTGGCACCTGACTTCCTACAAAATAATGGCACATTTTAGAAGAAGCAAAATGCTAAATAGAAAAACAAGAGCCGCTGTACGTAGTTTTGTTATCATGTCAGAAGACAAGTTACTGTTTTAGAGCTGTTGGCTTAGTTTCTTGGCTGATTTGAATAATAATAATATTTTCTGTGGTGCTTTCCTGACAACAGATCTTTTTAGCACACATATTTTGACTAGTCATTGTAAATGAAGTGCAAATGTATAAATGTGTTTACATTCCATTTACGAAGGGTCCTACTGTACTGCATGCCGCTAAGTGACTTACAGGGCTTACTGGTATATTTAATGTAACTGAGTCATCTTTAATTCATTTTGTGCTTTATTTACTGATACAAGTCAAAACATCCCCCCTTAAAATGTCTATTGGCCATTGCCAGCTTTGAAATGTTATAGGATTTGCACAGAAACCCCAGAGGCTTATTTTGGTGTGAGATTTGAATTTTCAGATAGAAGCTACACGAGCCTAAGCCAAAAGAGTGATGGCGCTCTTAAGCTGAGCAAATTCTTCTGAAAAAAGAACTGTATGTTTAAGAACTGCCACAGTCTAGAAAAATCAATAACAGACCTGTAGTAGTATCTGCAATGTACTGACATATGCACCATTACCAAGTGCATACATCACGCTGGGCAGAAAAAGAAGACAGGTCAGTAATCAAACCATTATGTGGTCGACACTTTTATGACTCTAAGTGTTAACTACAAACACCTGTTACTAATGTGTAATGATCAGGCGCAACCTACTTAGGTGTTCGCCAGCATACTGTGCTTTTAATCATTCCTGACGGTTGCACAGGGAACACTGAACCATCTGGCTTGCTCCAGTGTGTTAAATAACATGCAGATCTCTGGGTCACCAGAAACGTTAAAATGATTTAAATATACATACTGACTTTATTAAAAGATGTCATATGACACTGTATAATTAATTACACAACATAATTATATCTAATTATGATTTATATTTCTGCAATAAATAAAGTAATTTCTTGAAACAATAAGTACTCTCTATTAGCAGAAATAAGTGTCATTACAAATCACAGGCACTTGCTGAAAGGGCACTGATTAAATTAATATTATGCATAATATATGTTTTACAAATATAGCTATACTGTACTATACTGTATAGGGCAAACATCACGGCATCAATAACACTGACAGTTCATGATATTAAAAATTCCACATTAACAAAATTAAACTTCCAATGGCATGCTGAAATCTGGGAGTGGCTCCACTATTACATTCAAGAACAGTAACGACAGGGAGAAAACAAAAAACAAACAAACCTTTGTTATCCAAAAATAATTTGTGACCAAGAGAGGAAGTCTGTGCCTTTGAGAAAAATTAACATTTTAGGATTAACATGTCTTTTTCTTCCTAATTTGTACCAGTAAGTTTAATAATGAGTCCAAATGTGGTTTCAAAGCACTTCAGAGAACACGGCAACAACCTGAACAAGCCAGAAGCCGGTTTTGTTTAGAAACAGTGGCACCAATTATGACATGTGGGTGTGAGTGTAAAGGGCAGCTGCAAGTAAACCTGGACCAATACAATTATTTGGCTACATTTGTTAGCTTTAAGTGAATTAATTTTCGCTAAAACAAATGGGAATCACCAACTCTTACTATGTACCTCTAATCTGTTTAAATAACCCAATCATCTGACAAGGAAAAACCCATCATTGGCTAAACCACTCAGTGCACAAAAAGACAAATGCATTTTGTTCAAGTTTACAGTCCAACCAATCAGCTTTTACCTCAGGTGATGCAAAGCCTAAATACTCCCAGTCCCACGTTCCACCAGCAAAACTGCCAAAGACAGAAATTAATGGCAAACTTGTGATAGCTGAAATCACACAGGAATTGGCTCTCAAAATAAAATAAAAAAAAAGAAGTAAAATGTGTTATTTTAACAAAGTTAGGTACTGGTCTGTATGCTACCTTCGCCTTGGGGCTTCAGGTGAGTCATTAGGGGCCACTCCCCTGGCTACTGAGGCCAAAAACTCTTGCCTCTTCTGTTGTACCAGACAAGCCGCACGGATGATCTTGTGGCGTGGTGTTCGCAGGTAAGGCCTGTTAACCTTTTGTGCCAAGTCTTCAGTCACCATCTCCAAGTCCGTCTGGGGGCAGAAAGACAGGTGACTTAGCAATCACAGTGTACAAATGCAGGATTTGAAGTTTCAATTTAACAAATGTACTTGTGGGGCAGCTGTTTATGTATCTACTTTTTAAAAAAAAACTATTACTTTTACAGGTGTTTAAGGAATTGTAAGACCTATGGGAGCCGTGCCGATTCATTCTCCAGCATCTGAAAGGCCACATTATAAAAACTAGCAGGAAAGTACATCCTGTATCTATATGGGTGATCATAAATTATACAGCACTAGATGTTTAACTAAAAGCTGAGATGTGCAGATATAACTGGGGAAGATTGTGAGAATCATGCAGTAGAAAGCTTTAGTCTCACATATCTAATGGCCTAGACCACTGTGAACATTTGTCTTTCCTCTCACTAAGTAAGCCTGAAACCTGCATAAGCTCGTAGATCTCTTTCTTTGTGCTTTTGGGCTCCAGAAAGAACCCATAAGGATAAGAGCACTTGAGGATGCGGCGAGTCTTTAGTAGTTCTAGGACTGCATCTTCAATGAATGTAGTGTCAGGTGGGCCTCCTTCCCCTGGGAAAGAGAAGGCGGGAGAGTCAGATAACAAACATGAATATGGGATATGCTTTTGTACAGGACATTCATTACTCTGCCTCAATTACTTCACTTTGCTTTTGAGCCGATTAGTATTACATGACAAGAAATCCTGAAACAAAGCATATGAAAGAACTCCTTGACTGTACTAAAGCACATGAAGAGACTGCACTTTTAAGTTATAACTGAGGTGTCTAGTATGATGGGAAGTCTGGGCCAAGAACACTGCTGGCCTTTGATGAATAGTGACTTATAATTCACTTTTTAACAGCTACTGAGATTTAAAAAAAAAAAAAAAAAATTGGAACCTAAGGGAAAATCATTTTCTTCTCATTTGAATAAATCTTTTCACTAAATGTGTAAATTAGCAATCCAGACATGCTGAATAGAAGACAAATTTATATCTGAAATAGAATTTTTATCTGCATCTCAGATTCTGAACTGCGTCAGAAAACACAATAGTGATGGCCAAAACTGATTATTGGAGACTCAAAGCTGTCGGCAGTCATATTATGTAGGATAAACTGTGCAAACTTTCAGTTAAGCCAAACTCATGAAGACCGACTTGGAACCTTTTTCATTTCTGCCAGCTGACAGCCACCGCCACTATGTGAGCTAACTCCACTGCAATCAGAATCTACTGCTTTACCTGATGTACATCAGCATCACTCAGCTAACTAGTCAGGCAGAAACTCCCTTTACTGACATGGTTTTGAAAAAGTCAAGTTAAAATGTTATCTTTCTTGTAACCTCACACTACTGAATGCTTAAACCAATACCCACTGTTGTTAAAATAATATTAAAACACCTCAGTTTTCTATCCCTTCTCCAATACTTCCAAAAAGCTCAATATTAAAGAACTGAATTAGGATTGGTATAATAAAGGTTGACGCCGATACGGCAGACTGCATACTCACTTCCACTTAGTGCTCGACTAAGCTGCTCCATCTTCTCTTTGGCTGTTTTTAACAAACGCTGCTCTAGCTAATGGGAGAAAAACAGAAATTTTACTCAATAACAAAAATGATCTTGAGGTTCCTGCTAAACCAAGCAATAGAGAGAATGCCATATGAGACCAAATAAATTAACAACAGATTTATTTGTGATGAACAGAATGCAAATATACCGTATGTTAGTTATGTTAAAGTTAGAGCACTGGAGAGTATCCAAACTATGGGTCATGCACCAGTTTTACACAAATTCTCACTGTCTGCATTCATTGCATAACAGCTGCAAATGCAACATCACTGGAAGACAAAGTCTGGTCTGTTTACCTGATAGCTGTGCTCGTGGTTCTTGAAGCGTGTGTAGTAGTGCATAAAGCGGTCGAGTTCCTGAAAGCTCTTGTGTTTTTTCTCAGCCTGCAAAACAGTGATGAGACACCAGCCACAGTCAAACTCCTGAGCATGGTGTTTCTTCTCACAGAGAAAGCCGAAATACTTTAACTGTAAGGAGCAAAAGTAAGTCCACCAAATGATACTATTTATGTGTGACTAGAGAGTACACGAGAGACTGGTCAGTAACCCTCTGGCAACCAAATGCAAACAAGTGCAACACTGTTTACCTCTTTGCAAGCAGTTTCACTTAGTACCAGCAAGCAAACCCTTCCAACGAGTTGCCAGCCAGTCAGAGAATATACATCTTTCAATAGTAACGACTGGTTACCAGGAGGTCAGTGACTCTTGACGTACATGACTGTGGTTTTAGCAAATGATTTCACAGTAACTGCTATTAACCTCGAGCAACCATTGGCAACAAGCAGGAAATATTTTTCCCTAGCAACCAGCAGTTGCCAGGTAGTTGCCAACTGGTGTCAAGGCCTACATTACTATATACCTGTGTGTTATATACTTCAGCTGCTCAACTCCTGATCGTGTAGGAGTTTGCAGACAGACAGAGACTTGGTGTATTACAGTAAGACTGGGTTGTGCAGCAAAATATATTTATCAACTCTGCACAGAAAATCTGTAAATAATTAACTATTCCATCATGCGATTCAAGGAAAATTCCACCAATTTTATGTATTGCCATTCTCCAGGCCTTGGAGAGTACTACTGCAGATGAGTAAACAGTTATATCATTTCTTCTCTGGTTCCACAGGGACTTGCACAAAATCTGATAAATTGCTATAAGTAATGTCACTTAGGTCAATGTCTGAGTTTGAGAAAACAGAACCAGAAAGCAAGCTTACTACAGCTCTGTAGACGGTTGCTCGTTTTAAATTTAGCTGAGGAGCTCGAAGGCTATATTACTGGCTACTAGGACAAGTGGAAGCACATTCTGGTTAATGTATGCATGGCTTGAATCAGAGGAAGAATTAGTGAACTTAAAACAGACACGAGTTTATAATGCACCAAGCTTTCTGCTTTTTTGTTGTGAGTCTGATAATGGTGTAGGAGTACGATGACAAGTTGCTGAAAGAGTCATGACGTTTAGGAATAAAATACAATATGAAACAACCCCAGCCCCGCTCCTTTAGGACATTCACTCTACATCATCATAACAGAGGGCTCCCCCAGTAACAACTGCCATCACTCAGCTCTGGTCCCCTGTTGTTACATTATACCACTGTTGAGTCATATTTTACAAAGTGTTCGGTTAACTGGGCCGAAAGCGTTTAAAATATGAAAACACAGAGAATGTAATAATATCGTGTTAACATCTAGAGTGTATGCATGTACCTCTTCAGTCATCTCCTTTGACTGCTCCTCCACCTGCTGGATGACCTCATAGCGAGTGCAGCGATAGTAGCCCCCTGTAGATGAGCTATGCTTTTTCCATTCCTCCAGACAGATCCAGCAGAAATCGTACTTACACTACAGGGAGAGAGAACAGCTCTGGTCAGCTGTCATATCAAAAAATGGAAAGCCAATTACTAATGCTACTCCTGCTTTACTGGGGTAATTTACATTTAATGACAAAATGAAAAAGACACTTTTTTTTATAATTGCTGTCAGAGAAAAACAATTATCCTGGTATATGAAATGACAGCCAAAGCGATACCTTTCCCCATCTACAGACATGTTTTCATTAATATACCCATCCAAAGGTGAGAATATCAGACTGACCCAACATCAGAGCTCAGTTGATGTGCGGTAACCTCTTTGAGTTATCAAGCACAGATCTGCCAGGACAGAAAGGCACTTTTTTTTTTCAAAAACACATCTTTGTAAAAATCATAACTGAATTCTAATTAAGGGTCAAGGACTTCTAAGGCTCATTAAACTAATGTAATCACCTGTATCCATTTTATCTCTTTTGTCTTCTCATCCATTTCTTTTTCTACAGTGTACAAGTAGCAGATGTTTGAACAGAGTCGTGAATCCTTGTAGCCTGCTGCCACTAGAAGGCACTCAGACTGCATTTGAGAGCAGCAAGTCCCGATGGAGAAAGAACAACAAAACACAGCAAAACACTACAGCCTCTCCAATCTGGAGCCTATTTGGGTATAAGTGATTTCTCCATGCTACAAGCACTTCTGTGGGTGACAGGTTAGCTGGAGTATCACAAAACCTTAAGGCTGAGGCATCAGTTGTCCTGGAAACTCTCTGCTTATATGACATATCAGAAAAATCAATACAAAATCAAGGAGAGTGGGGGGACATGAATGGGTGGATGGAGAGACACAAAAAGACATGTGAAAGAGAATCCTGAGACAAGAAAAAAGTGTGAAGCCACACCAGAGAGAAGGAAATGGCAGCAAAAAGACAATAGGTTCCTTAGCAACACTGAGTCCCGTGTTTCCAGGCAACAGGGGTAAAGACGTTTCTTACCAGGTAATAACAGGTCAAGAGGCTGAGCCCTCTGTGGCCTCTCAGCTTGTGAAAGCCACTCCATTCACCCAAAACTAATGTCCATCTCTAGTCAGCCTATTTAACCAGTGCAAACAGTGACAGGGGTGTCAGAGAGACAAAAAGATCTTTGCTGTATGACTGCACTGCCTCCCCTACAGCAACAGTGGTAGTAACAGAGACAAAGTCAAGCAACATGACTATGTCTGATTGCTGGTCTCACTCTCTCCCTTGACCATCCATCCATCCTCTTCCACTTATCCAGGTCCAGGTCACAGGGACAGCAGTCTAAGCAGAGATGCCCAGACCTCCATCTCCCCAGATACCTCCAGCTCATCTGGTAGGATACCAAGACATTCCCAAGCCAGCTGAGCCAAGAGACATAATCTCTCTTTCAGACCCTGGTTTTACCCTGGGGCTTCCTCCCAGTTGCACATGCCTGAAACACCTCAGGAGATGTCCGGGAGGCATTCTAGTTAGATGCCCACCTCAAATGGCTTCCTTTTAATGTGGAGAAGTAGCAGCTCTACTTTGATCTTTTCCCGATTGACCAAGCTCTTCAAATTATCTTTAAAAGAAAGCCCAGATGACCCTTGGAGGAAGCTGATTTTCATCACTTAGATCCATAATATAATTCTCTTTTACTTCCTACAGCTATGCAAACCTTTTTTTGTAATTTCACCCAATTTAACCCTGTATTATTTACACTGGTGGACCAATACAGAAGCTATCTGCTAACATGTAAACATGACAGCATGCATTCATACTGTAATTACACATACATTTCACAACATCAACAGGTACCTTAGTTGCCCCTTTGCTATGCACACTGCATTTCCTTTAAAAAGGTGTTAAGTGAGAAAAGAACAGTATAAAACAGAGCTATTCTAATAGTCTGATCTGACAGAACTGAGAAAGTTGTAGTCATCTGCTAGACAGATCATGTAATACCATTGTGTATAAATACTACAGCTTGTCTTGAGCGTGGTGTAAGAAAGAGAAAGGCTTGTGGAGAATCAGGAGTAAAAATGGCTCATTCTAGTGTTTAAAGAGCCATCTGTACAACTAAAAATGAGATTTTGACATTTATACACATACTGTGTGCAAATAAACTTTATCTCCCACCTGACAGTTTGTTTGCACTGAGAACAGTACTTTGCATAAAAGCCCTGAGTTATTATATCATTGCACTGTATGATAAAATACTGTGTCAATTTGTAAATGCTTCTTGGTAAAAAAAAAAAAATATGAAAGAATATGCCAATGAATAACTGTTGGCTACATAAAATATAATTAACTGATTAAAAAGAAAAAATGCTAAATGGAGCTTTGCTGTACCACTTTATGGACCTCCAAAACCCACACTTGCTCTAGATAACTTTACTGAAATTTGATAAATAAGGTAGTTACACATAATTAATTCTAATTATTTCTATGAGTTGCCAAAATCTGCATTTTGCACTATTTTTTTTTCTATTTTTATGTGCAGTATGTCAAAGAAGATGATTCTGAAGTCCATTTAAAACAAACAGAAGTATACTGTGTTCATTGCATACATGTTGCTCATTTAAACTTCTTAGGTTTGTTTTCTACAAAAGAAAACGACTGATTCATATATCTTTCTATATGAACAACCAGATAAACTGATCACCTGATTACTGTCTAGGTAAGAAAAATATGAGAGGCCTGACTGCCTACCTTGGCGCACTGCATGTGATTGCAGCCCTCGTTTTTCTGTATAGGAGACTTACAGTTGGCGCAGGGTTTGGAGTTACTGAGCAACCATAAGCAGTTGGCTGCATCCTCATAAGCTTCGCTCACACCAGCCACTTCAACATGGAGGAGGGGGAGGTAAACAGAACAAATAAAGGCATAATGAGACAGAATGAGAATGGCTATTACCAGAGCATCAAAACAGACCAATGCACTGAGTGGGAAATCGTCCTGCCTGATTAATGTATATTGCTAATATATTTTGCTAACATCTCCCAAGATGCTCATGCACCCACCTACACACACACACAAAGAGAATAATTGGCTATTATCAAAGCACCTTTGATGTGCTGCTGAAATGCCAAGATAAAACAGAATCTGGGGGAAATCGAAGTGGAAGATAGTTCCGAAACCAAATAATTGCTTTATCTTCCGACTGTCACATCAACCAAGTGGCACTCAAGAGCAGCTGGGGTATCGTAAATCATCTATTAGATTGCCCAGAGTCCAATTAATGTTTCTAAACACCACAAACTTTTAGTGAGCGGGTTGCTCGTCTTAATTAATAATTTATCATCGACGTGGTGGAGTTTAATTGGCCTAATGCTAAATAGTTTGTAATTACTGTGGTTGAGTTCCAGGCAATTTAACTCCAAATCAGTCACTTTTGTGCACCCTGAAAAATCTGGGCAAATAAAGACACTGGATAATAAACTTCTTTATGATCCGTAACCTCCAGGTAACAACACAATTCTACTCTGTGGTTTAGAGCTGGGCGATATAAGATTTTTTCATATCACGATATGTTTTTTTCATTTCAGGCGATAACGATATATATCACGATATAAGCCAAATAACTATATTTGTAAGATTTAAATGTGCCGTTGCTCACAAGTAAAATGGGAAATAATCAGCAGCTTGTTTTGATTTAAATATTTATTTCCCATAAAAAGTTCAACAGGGTAGATGTACTTAAAATGAGGCTTCAGTTTAGGCAAAATAAAGGCAAATATTACAAACTTACACAAAAGGTAGCTGCTAAAGCATTTAAGTTTCAAAATAAAACAAACAAAACAGACTACTAAATTGTCAGTTCCACTTAGAAACAAAATATTAATTCTTTAATTCTTTATTGGTAGCATGTCTTTAGCAAGACAGTAAGCTAAGGCATTCGTTATGTTGATATGTCTCTTAGCTTTTGGTAAGACGCTGGAGAAAGCCGACTCAATTGACTGTTGCTGCTTCACAGGGATTCCCCTTGTTGTTTTCGATGACGAATTAGCGCTTTTAGAGATTGAGCGTGCTCTAGTGGGTGGCACTGCTTCAAGTGATAAAAAAGGTTTGTTGTATTTCCAGACTTTGTGGGAACATGCTTTTGGCACAATTTCAGTGCGCGTTACTCTGTTTTTTTGTCAGACTTCAAATAGCCGAAATACCTTCACACTACGGAACTTCTCTGGCCTTTCCTTTTGACAATCTCTCCAGCATTGGAACCGTCATCTGTGTTCTCTTCGGTAACCTGGTCACCCAAGCTCTCGGTTGATTTTTCTCTAGTTGGCACACTCATTTCCTCCATTACCCGGCCGGCACGGCGGCTGGCTGCTTCCCAAACAAATACACATGTGCGGCTTGGCACTTGAGCTGTACGTAGCAAGTTACGTGACGTGACGCTGCGGCTGTGATTGGTTCGGCTCTGCGCTATTTAATTTGTATTGGCTATTCATTTTTTTTATAAGAAAGGAAGAGAGAGAGAGAGAGATGAGGTCTATCACAATAGCTTCATTTTTCTGTCGAGAAAAAGTTATTTCGCAATACATATTGTTATCGTTCTATCGCCCAGCTCTACTGTGGTTCAACAGATAAAAATGCCATTTCACATTAGGTCTCAATACAAAACCACATACTGTAAGTTTGTTACCGATTCCTGTATAGTTTTAGATAACAAATCCACAATTTAAAAAACAACAACAAACACTCACATTCCTCAGGCTTCATCTCACTGACTTTCTGTAGCCACATCTTCCACGTTTCACAGTCACAGGGCTCATGGGCTTCACCTTGACACTCCCTGCAACACATACAGACCAAGGTTGTTACTAATACTAAACTAAAAATTAGAACCTAGTGAAAAACATTTTAGTGAAATAAATTAACTGTTAACTGTTAGTTCTATTTCACCGCTTTTAGGATAGCACCTTATATCTTTGTGGTTTGGAAAGTAGCAGCAGTCCTAAATTTTCTCTGTTTGTTAGTTTCCTTTGTATGAGGGACCTTTCAGAAATAAAAGATTTCTTAAGCAGACACTGTCAGTAATCACATTTTGTACACTTTTATCTATACAAAGCACCTCTAAAACTTATAGTTGCCATTTCATCTCTTTACTTCAACTAGCTTACCCTGCCCTGATTAAGGACATGATGAGGTCAGGCATGGTGAACAAACAAAAAAACAATTGGTGAACAAAAATAAACAGAAAAACCACCCCAAATATTTGCCTAACAATATTTCTTCGCATTAACTCCATCATTACTGTTTCTGTTGGACAACTGGAGTTTTGAAAAGCAAAAACAATACTGACCAGCAGAAGAGGTGGCCTTTGCCACAATCTACAGCAGGGGCCCGAAGGAGGGGAAAGCTTAGGTGATCTGAGGTGGAGGCTCCAGGGCCCTGGGTGTTCAGGCGTACCGCTCTTTCGCACCCCGCCTCTGGACACCATCGGATTGCCGGATTGTTTTCTACAAATGCCTTCAATAAAAGCAAAAGTCAGTCAGAAGTTTAACAATCTTTTATTAAGCTGTATACCTTTTAGTGTAGATGACTCTAATAAAGCTTGAAATAATTTAATTTAAAAGTCATTTTCAAATCTGTTAAAGATGTTTAAGTATAAAATTGTTCCCTCTGTATGCGTTCTGAGACCATCTACAACAGCTCGATATTTAAGGAATAGATTCTTGAACACAAAATAAATATAAAAGCCTGAACATAATTCAACTAAAAAGGCTCTTAAAAAAATTAAATTAAATTAAAAAAATGAATAAATAATAATAATAAATAATACACACATGAAATACACACAATATATATGTGTGTGTGTGTGTGTATATATATGTGTGTGTATATATGTGTGTGTGTATATATATATATGTGTATATATATTTATATGTATATATATATATATATATATATTTATTTATATTTATATATATATATGTGTATAATATTATTATATAGTTAATATATATAGTAATATATATATATATATATATATATGAAATAGTATATATATAGTATGTATATATATTATGTATATATATAGTATTAACAACATATAAATATGTAGTATTATGAATATGAATTGTATATATATATATATATATATATATTTATATTTATATATTATAGTTTTATATATATATATATATATATATATATATATATATAGTGGGTTATGTATCATGTATGTGTATGTATGTATATGTAGTATATATAATATATATATATCATATATATATATATAAAATATATAGTATATAATATACTAATATACATATATATATATACTTATAGTATATACACATATATACATATATACATATATACACATATATACATATATACTATATACATATATATACACATATATACATACACATATATACATACATATACATATATATATATACACAATATATATATACATACTATATCATATACTATATATATATACACATATATAATATACACATATATATATACACATATATATATACACATATATACTATAATAATATATATCACAATATTATATATAACATATATATATACATATATATATACACATAATACATATATATATATATACACATATATATATACACATATACAATATATAATACATATATATATATATATATACACTATATATATACATATACATATATACTATATCACATATATATATATATATATAAACACTATATATATATACACATATATATATATATACATATATATATATATATACACACACATATATATAATATATATATATATATATATATAATCATCATATATATATATATATATAACACACACATATACAATATATATACATATATATATACACACTAAATATAATACATATATATATATATCCATACAAACACATATATATATATACACATATATATATATATACACATACATATATATATCACTATAATAATCATATATATACTATATATACAATATACACTAAATATACACATATCATATATACACTTATATATATATACACACATATACATATATATACACATAATATATATATACATATCCATATATATATACACACATATATACATATATATCACATATACACACTATATACACATATACATATACATACAATACATATACATATAATACACATATACATACACATATAACATATATACACATATACAATACACATACATATCACATATACATATCACATATACAATATATATATATACATATTATATACAATATACATATATAATCACATATACATATTATAGTTACATACACATATTATATATACTTTATTATATATAACATATATTAGGGTGCAACGGAATATATGTGACTAATATATTAGTATATATATATATATGTTATATATAGTGTTATAGGTATGTATATGTATATATATATAGGTTGTAATATATATATATATACTATATATTATATATATATATATATGTATATATGTTATATATATATATATCTATCTAATCATATATATATATATACTATATATATATATATATATTAGGGGTGCAACGATATTCGTATCGATATTGAACCGTTCGATACAGTGCTTTCGGTTCGGTACGCATATGTATCGAACAATACAACATTTGTAATTTATTTTATCAACTTTCCTTCTGACGATGCTGTCTGTGTGGAGCGCTCAGTGAATCTGCGTTCGACTACTCCGCCTAGGCTGCACTGTCGAGCGCAGATCCACTGAGCGCTCCACACAGACAGCATAGTCAGAAGGAAGAGCGCAGGGCAAGCTAGCGAGACAGAAGTTAAGCTCTCCTTGCAACATGGCAAATTGAACCTCTCCCACCCTCATTCAGATCTGGCGTTTGGAATTATTTTGGTTTTCATGTGACGTATGACCCTGAAGGTAAGCGCGTCATGGACTAAAGTAAAACAGTATGTTGGATGTGCCACGCAATGCTCAATTACATGGGTGGGAGCTAGTGTGTTAGCGCAGTTAGCTCGTTAACGTGTTGGCCGTCTAGCCCCATGCAGGTAGCTCGTTAACGGAGATTTGCCGTGTTGTGGCGTTAACGTCATTTCAACGAGATTAACGCTGACAGCACTAGTGGGAACACAACGAATATGACTGCACATTTACACCGACATCATCCTAGTGCAAAGACAAGTGGAAGCAGACAAAAACAACAAGCATGCATGCTACAAACTTTACCCGAGTCATTTAGACAGCCGTTAGCACATGATTCTCCTTATGGGGACCTGATATGTTTAATATTGTGGCGAGCTCAGACAACGAGGAGACGGAGGTATCGTTTGGTCTTGCTTCCCGTGAGCTAGCCAGAGCACAGCCGTTTATTGACATCTGCAGAAGAACACTGCGCTAGCTAACTGCTCACGCGCAACCGCACAGCAACAACAACACACAGGAGCGCCCTCTGACCCCGGAAGGACACACCGTCGCAGCGAGAAGGCGTCACCCGTCACTATGGCAACATAAACAAAACATAACTGTACAAACAGAACCCCGAACAGCCCTGACCCGCTACATAGCCCCCACCTAAGGGGTCAGTCGTCCCCGACTACCCCATTACCCCACACAAAGTCCTGCAAATGTCCAGGTGCCTTCTTTTGGCGCACCGGCCGGTCACGACCGGCGGGGGAAAAGTCACTCGGGTCAGAACATGGGGTGCCACCATCATCCCACTTCTGACACCAATGTGGCGAGCTCAGACAACGAGGAGACGGAGGTGTCGTTTGGTCTTGCTTCCCGTGAGCTAGCCAGGGAGCACAGCCGTTTATTGACATCTGCAGAAGAACACTGCCGCTAGCTAACTGCTCAGCGCGGCAACCGCACAGCAACAACAACAACACACAGGGCGCCCTCTGACCCCGGAAGGACACACCGTCGCAGCGAGAGGGCGTCACCCGTCACTATGGCAACATAAACAAAACATAACTGTACAAACAGAACCCCGAAACAGCCCTGACCCGCTACAATATCCTGCTGAGAATATAGCCCAGAAGAAGCGTATAGTATAGCTTTTATTTTGGAAAGAGCCATTTCTCTGTAATAAACTCTCTTTTCCAAAGATGAGTGATTCCTCAATCAGATACAGGTGTTACCGCGCCAGATCCGCGGCCCCGAACCGTAGTAAGGAAACCTCTGGCAGTTACTTGAAGGTTCCGTAACTGACTCGTAGCCGGCAACAGCTTACTATACAGGTCAACTCCGCTAGCAAAAAGATCGAAGGAGGCGTAGGAAACTGCTTCACCGAACTTTATTTCTTCTCTAAGGCACGAACACCGCGTACAGTGGGCTGAAACAGTTTACTCACAGCGAGCATCGCCGACACAACTCTGGCTGTCGAGGGAGTTATTATATTCCTTTTATTTATTTTCTTTTCGTCTCTTCTGTAGCTAACCGTTACTTTTTCCCCTTCTCCGCTCTCTCTCTTCACACACACACCAGGCAGTCCCGCTACACACATCCCGAATACATTTCCCATCAGGCTTCATCCTTAAAGGGCCATGCCTGTAACACAGGGCTTGCAAAATCGCTAGCCCGACGTCCCGGGGCTAGCGATTTTTCCAGTCGGGTTACCAAAATCTATCTCTGCCCTGCCCGTTGGGCTATTGTAGGAAGGAAAAATATATGTCAATGCTTTTGCATTCTTTCGGAAATGTAGCTGGGTAATTATGTCATTGGCATCGGTGAGCCACTGTCAATATGTGACATATTGAAATCGCGTTTGAATTTGCGCTTGTTTTTTGCTTTCACTTTGCAAATGTCCAGGTGCCTTCTTTTGGCGCACCGGCCGGTCACGACCGGCGGGGGAAAAGTCACTCGGGTCAGAACATGGGGTGCCACCATCATCCCACTTCTGACACCAATGTGGCGAGCTCAGACAACGAGGAGACGGAGGTGTCGTTTGGTCTTGCTTCCCGTGAGCTAGCCAGGGAGCACAGCCGTTTATTGACATCTGCAGAAGAACACTGCCGCTAGCTAACTGCTCAGCGCGGCAACCGCACAGAACAACAACAACAACACACAGGGCGCCCTCTGACCCCGGAAGGACACACCGTCGCAGCGAGAGGGCGTCACCCGTCACTATGGCAACATAAACAAAACATAACTGTACAAACAGAACCCCGAACAGCCCTGACCCGCTATCAATATGCTGCTGAGAATATAGCCCAGAAGAAGCGTATAGTATAGCTTTTATTTTGGAAAGAGCCATTTCTCTGTAATAAACTCTCTTTTCCAAAGATGAGTGATTCCTCAATCAGATTATTTATTTTTTTAAATTACTTTTGTTTCAGCAACATTAAATTTAAAAACTGTACTTTTGAGTTAAAATATATATTTATAATTTTAATAAATGACAAATTAAAAAGGCATGAACATTTTTTTGTATCGAAAAAATATCGAACCGTGACACCAAAGTCGAACCGAACCGTGAATTTTGTGTATGTTGCACCCCTAATATATATATATATATATATATATATATATCATAATAGTCATATATATATAGAGCTAGCTGATAATATCACATGGGACCTGAATCATATAGTATAGCTTTTATTTTGGAAAGAGCCATTTCTCTGTAATAAACTCTTTCTCTCTCTCTCTCATGGTTATGCCTTTTGTTAAACCTTGCCATACTTTGTGCCCTTTCTGTTTTCCTTGCTCTGCATTAACCATGTATCCCCGGCACTAAAGCATCATAACTTGGTTAGTGGCTGCTAGTCTCACTCTGTCCTCCACTTGTCACAGAGAAAAGTTGACATTTCTCACTAGAACATTGCAAAGTTGAACTCTTTCTGTTAAGTGCCCCTAAATTACTTATTTTACAAACTGCTAATGTGTAATTACAACTCTAAACTGAATGAAGGAGACATAAAAATATGTTGAAAGAAAAATGAATAATATTCATTGTTGCTTGTGGCACTTTGACAACAAAAAATGTCATTGTTTCAAGTAAAGATTATTTCACACATAACCGATTTAATTCCTCTACCTTTATTAGTTATACCCTTCCATTTAAGTGAGTAATGGTATTATCATAACACAATACGGCAAGCCAGAATCATCTTTTATTCCCGACAAAATTATTTGAATATTTTGTGTGGAGGCTCACAGCTCAGTTCATTTCAATTCCAGCCTTTTTTGTTTTCATCACTACCTTGATGTCAAACTGGAGGTAGCGCTTGTCCATCTCTCTGGAGACCACACCCTCTATGACTTCCACTGGTACTAGCTGGTAGCAATCAAAGGCTGGGCAGAAAATGTTGTGGGCTTCTCCTTCTTGGATTTTTAAATTCAGAAAACTTTGAAAGCATTCAAATAATAGTCAGAAATGAGATATGCAAAGAACAAAAACACTGAATAAGATCTGTGCACGCATAGTACAGACACCCCAAGCAATCTGCAGAATCCTCAGGCCATACCAAAATACGACTTACCCTTCCCAACATGATCTACAAAAGTCGTGGCCACAGGGCATGTCAACAGGTTCTTCAAAGACGGAGAGGGAAGAGATGCAGATACCACACTGTGAGACGTAAATATCAAACCACAATATTAGCATCAACAAGATACACTCTATTTAAACTCTTAATTTTTTGAACAAATTAAGTCAGTTTTAATCAATAAAAAAATAAGTAAATCTGGTATAACTTCAAAAGGTCCTTGTGTTATAGTCCTGTTTTGTTCTGTTACATAACCGTGCCACTGTTTACAGTCTTTGAAAAAGTCACTGAGTTTTTCTATTTTTCTATTTTTTGCTTGAAATGCCAGAGTTTGAGAATGTCCTGGCTTGGGAATGTTCTCCAAATATTGTGATGTGAGGGCGATTTTAATGTGAGACGACATGTCAGAGGTGGAGAAGTTATTGAGTTGATATGTCAATGTGTACAATTATACACAACAGTAGCCCGAAGTAGTTTATGAAAAGCCACTGTGCCAATGTTATGACCTCTGCTAAGCATGTGGCTCATTCCCATTTCTATTATTAGATTTATTTTTCAGATACCCACAGAAAGTTGAATCACAAACAAAGAGTGTATTTGACACACAGTCAAATACACAGGCCTTGTTACAGTGAAAGACTGATCCTCACAAGACATAAAGAAGGCAGTGTACTTCAACAAAGCAGGTATTGATCTGTGAAAGAGCAGAATGTGATAATCAACTCTAACCTTTAAACGGGCCTTTGAGTACACTCGGTCGATTGACACAGGGCAGTTCAATTACGCCTTTTCAGATGCACAACTTAAGATACCCTCAGACATTTGTCTGACATGTTCATATCTTTGATGTTTCAATCCAGAGTGTTTTGGTGTTTTAAGTAAACCCCTGATAGAGAGCAACTGAAGCTGACAGCCTTGATTTATAGATTAATAAAGTGTGTCAGCTTTAGCTATTATCCATCAACACACATCGCCAATGGATATATTCATTCATCCAAAAAGATATGTCTTTATACTTTTCAGAAACTGTCAAAAACTATCTGATTCTCCCTCCAGGTACCATCATTTTGGTTTAAAAATCATTACTACAAAGTTGAAATAAATTTAACAACCAAGAAAACAGCATTTTCTTCCAAAGAAGCCTCATAAAGTTATATATTTAAAAAAAAGTCTGCAGTATGCATTTCTCACACTGCACTGTCATCTCAATTCCCAATTTTGCAAACTATTCCAGAATAAAGTCTAAACCCAAGCTAACCGACCTTGCTGACCTCACAAACCCTGATTTTTATAAAGCATTGTCAGTCTCCAATAGCGAGCAGTAAACAAAATGAGTTGCTGTCAGCAATAAATGAGATAAAGGCTAGATGCCTAGTAAACTTTGTTTTGGTCCATGACATATTACTTTTTGCTCACAAAAAAGTCAATTTCCGAACACTTTTTATAATTACGGGAAATGCCAGACTAGATCAGGATAACAGGTGGGCAATTAAACAGGGAGTTTACAGCTCCTTTCACAGCAAGAGGGCAATAAGGTTCCTTTCCCTCACTGCAGGCTTTGTAAAAACACTGGTGGAAAATACACCTTTCATGAAGCTTAGAGAGCACACTTTAATGCTGTGGGAGGTGTAGTTGTTGAAAGCTGAAAAAAATAATTATCTACAGTGACTGAACTACCACTACCTCCCTCAACCTTTCACCCAAAAGGCCAAAGGAGGGAAAACCAAAACTATTTTACTTACGAAATGTATGCACCCCCATTATATCTCAGTGCAGACTGTAAGTGTCTAGCAGCTACAGTTGATCACAATTCACTCACCTTCTGTAAGTGCTTAAAAAACTTTCCAGTATTTTTAATTAGTTTAAAATTAACCCCTGGTGGTGGCATCACTGCGGACTACCCACCCCCACAAAACAGTCGCACGAGAGTCAACACTCTCCCTTACGTGTAACAATTTTAAAACTGTGAAAACAATAACATGACATCTTTAGTGAGACGTGCCCAAACATACAGCAGTAATATAACATAATATAACATACGACATGTGCAGCCGTCAATCATGTTTGATAAAGAAGGAAAGCGCAACATGAAGGATGTCGTATCTTAAATTAGCATATTTTATATAACATAACAAAACTCAACACTGTTCAGGACTTGCCTACATGATAACTGACAAAACACTGGATGACATATGAGAAAAGGAAGCCCTGCTTCTGTTTATGTTTGCAAGGTAGACCACTGGCATGAATACTAATGACTTCTAGCAACATATATTTACTGGGAAAGAGTGAATCATTATGCAGAAAGACATCTGTGATCATAAAATTTTAAAGAATTCAGCTGAAACACTTCAGAAAATCTTGGGACTCCATGAATTTTATTTAAATATGCACTGCTATACACATTTTATGGGAATGCTGCCAGTTAATCTATGCACCTCCGTGCCTAAAGCTATCCCCTGCTGCTATAGGAGCATCAGTCAGGAAAACATGCTGTGGCCGACTGTGATCCTTTTTCATTTGATCGTTCTTTATCAATAAGTACAGTTAAACAATGGCTAAAACTTTTTTCTCCATTTACTGACCTACATTTATCAATCTAGAGCTGTCACAGTGTTTTCAGCAAAAAAACAAAAAAAATGGCAAGTGGATTTCAACCCTAATGTAGTGATTTAAAAAGCGTATTTAGTTACATCCACCTTATAAATTAATTTGTCTAGCTTTATCAGTTCAGGATGTAGCAGTAAACAAGAGTCATCTTGTCTTACCAGAGAAGACTCCTCATCAGCAGGCATGAGGCTGATTTGGTCTGGTGAAGTGATGGAGGAGCGGGTGGTCCTAGGCGTCCGGGGAGAAGGTAAGGTGTCCCAAGCATTGCAACCACTTGGGGGTGGGTTGGGCATTTGCACACCTGAGCGTTGGCAGCACTCCGCCGCATTGGCCATCCAGGCTTCTAAGAGCTTCTCTCGGTCCCAATCTGACACAAAAAAGACATCTTATTTTAGTATATACTACCTAGAGGATGAAACTCTGCTTGTGGCATGATGTTTTGATTCGAACGATCAGACCAGTGACTGGAGGTGCAGATGTCGGTATGCAGAGAATTTTTAAAGGGGAAACAACGCAGGCTTCTGTGCAATAGGTGCTGATGGACTGGGAGTCAGACACACATTTTTATAAGATAACTTGATACCTGTTGTCTAACAAAAAGTTTACGATGATCCTTGTGTGTGGCTTAAAAAAAATTGTAACAAGGTGCTGAAGTTAATTGGTTGCTGCCGTATTTCTTAAAGTTTTTTTCATGACTTTATTTAAATAACTGAAGCACCAGACAGCAGCAGAACCAATGCACAAGCTTCCTAAAAGCTGTGTGCATTTATGCATGTGACACAACAGAGATAACTTAATTACTTGTAATAAATTATTCCTGACAGTGACACAGGATACCTCAGGATCTAAGAGCAAATTACATTGTTTCTTTTCAGAAAGGTGAGATGTCCCACAGGCTCACAGTTTATAACCTACAATTTAGAAAGTTACGATAACTGACTGCCAGTGCATTATACGTCACTTTATGTAATGTCTAATTTCCAGTATAGCACATATTGGTTCATTTAGTAAGTGCTGATGGGATGTTTGAATAAAATAAAGTTGATGTAAAAGAGACAAAATGACGATCTAAGGAAAAAAGAAGCTTCAGAAAGAGTATTTCTTTATGCAGGAATCAGGTGTGTCATGACCAGAGTAACAACTGAAAGCACAAGTGGTGATGGGACAGGAACTGCTCACTATAGTATGATAGTGATCCAGAATGTCCTGCCCTTTGGGAAGGCAGTTAGTTTACTATCTTTATTTAAGTTACTAAGGACATTATCAGCAGAATTCAGGTTTTTCCACTCCATACACAGCATTGTTGTGTCTCCTGCACAGTTGCTGGTGGCAGTGAAATGTGAATGCTGACAATTTTAAAAAACCACCCAAGAAAATATGAGGCAAACTCACGGTGGAAGTAGACGGGTTTACAGAATGGGAAGAACGATTCCAGATCAGGAGAACAGTGATGTTTAATCATCGCGCCGGCTGTTGTTAGTGTGAAAACAGATTCTACAACCTTTCCTCTTGCCAAAAATGTGGTGATCTGCTCTGAAGAGCTCAAAGCCTGCCAGCTACAGCGCAGAGTCCAATATCAATTCACAGAACCTACTTTCTGTGAAGCACAAAATGGAAGATAAAGAAAAGTCTTTTTTCCTTTCACTAGCAACTATAAACACGCAAGTTATTGTCAAGACACAAATAAGAAGTACGCAATGTAGCAGGGACAATTAAAAACATTTTCTGACTGTTTGAAGATTAGATTTTTTTTTACAATACTTTATGATTAGGCCTAAAACAGACATAACATACTGAATATATGAATTCCCATTTAACCTGTCAAAACAAGACTTAAGTTTGAATTTCATGGACAAAAAATGCATTTCAGTGAATCTCATTTTACATTTGTGTGGATTCTCAATAGAAATAGTCCAGTAGCCACCAGCATTTAAGCCTTTTAAACTGCCAACAACAAAGACCTGCTGCCATCTGGTTTTCTGTTTTAGAATAGCTGTTTAATCTCGCATCAGGACACGGACAGATTTGAGAGGCTCTCAGTATAAATATTGGATGACTTGTGGACTGTGCCCGAGTCCAAATAGTCTACCCTCCTAAAATAAGGAACACGACCAGGTCAACTGTGCAATTAGGCCATTATCAGCCTCAAGACAGGTTTGCCACCAATCAAATGACTAACGCTCTAAATGGCCTCCTTTAGATAATGAATGTCGTAACAACCCCCATCCCAATCTAGCTCCATTCAATTAAAACTAATCAATGTGTATGGCCCTATCTTAAAGCCTTTAGCCATTATATAGAGTCTGAAAGTGAAGTCTTCACATTTAGTCTTAAATATCAAAAATTAGTTGGGAAATACAAATTGTCAGGAACAAAGAAAGATGGAAAAGCAAGCAGTTCAGCAGACGAGCAATGAGGAGACGATAAGAGATTGTTACAAATTGTGGAAATGAGGCTTTTTCGAAATGAAATGACATGCGAGTGCAAAAACCCTTCTCCAGGACATGCAAAATCCTGAAATGTTTCAGCAGTCCCATGATAAAACTGAATAAATATAGCACCATTCTGGGGTCAATCTCCCGCCTCTGAGCTCTTAAAAGTGTGTCTCATATGTAGCACACAGCTCAACAGACAGCCCTTAAGCCCATTTAATTAAAAAATGAGGTGGTGAAGTCATACACAAACATTTTTGCCAAGTTGTCTGAAGTAACGATTTACAAAAGCCTCAAATCAGTAAACCTTTCAGAAACACTTGGACACACTATCTTGTGTCCAGCTGTAAATGAAGCAAGTTTGAAAACTGGTGGGTTAAGACTGCAAGTCTAATAAAATCTGATATATTTACTCAGTACTTGGCCAGGCCTAAGTTAAGAGTGAAGTAATTAAGACAAATTCAGGAAAGCATATTTTCTCTGCAGCACACTACTATTTCTAGGAAAAACATAACAGAATGTAATAAAAATAAATTAGACGTGCCAAGGATTTTATATAAAAATCCATGGTTCACGCTGCGGATTATTTAATCTTATTTACAGTAAATCAGGCGCGAGCCTAAGTAACCTAATTAAGCAGTGTTTGTTCTCAAATTGTTTGTTGAAATGAATACGCTCACTAAAACTACATTTAGATCATGTAAAAGCTCTCTCCAGTGACAACAGAACAAGTCCAATTCTTTCAGCGTACTGCATATTTATAGAAAATAAATCCCTTATCCAAATACAAAAAACACTTTCTGTATTTTCTATTTTGTAGTCATTTCTACATTTAAAAAGCATGGTAACCCCATGTAAAATGCACCGTTACACATTTTCACAGCATCACAGCCACAAGATTAGAATCAGGGTTTCACATTAGGTGCCGATACACAGAACCTCCTCAGAGAGTGACCAGAAGAAGCTTTTCTTATTTTAAGCTTGTTTGGTTTGGTCTTACAAGCTATTAAATTGTGTGGTGTCATGTTTAGGTCTGAGGTCTGCAGCAAAAGGCTGGAGATATCTAAGTCTGCTAAGACATAAAAAAGTCTTGAAGTTATTCTCAAGATCGGTCATTCCACTGTATTAAACAGCTGCCAATTTGTACCAGACTCCTTGCTCCAGCAAATTAAACCCAAACAGAACAACATAAAAAGTATAATAAAAATACCACAACATTTCATCAAAGGGTCTTCAGCCATTTCTTACTACTGGTGTCAAAAGGCGTTCATTTACAATAAGATGCAGGGAAAATCTGAACTGCAATGCAGACGTGCCTTGCTTATTGAGAGGATCCTGCTTATTGGTCTGAATCCCACTGAAATGTCGTGTGGATTTTAAAACAGGCAGTGTGTAAGAGAAACCTTAGATTAAACATTCTGTAACTGACAGGATTTGTATGGAAGAGCGGTCAAAGACTTTAATAAGCCAATATCTGAGACAGGTGAACAATTATGCAAATCATGGCCAAGGGTATACTTACCTCATCCACTAAAGTGTATGTATGGATGTGTGTATATATATATTGAAAAGTGTTGAAAAGTGTTTTATGTGGTGTTAAATTAAATCTAACCAGTGTATCAAATGCTTCCTTGTCCATATACTTTAACTATGTATGTCATTTGTTTAACTACTATGTTACTATGTTTACCCATTAAGCTGTCAGGATATTACTAGTCCAAATAATTGAAAGGACAACCAGTACTGTGTTTGTTTAATAGTACCATGGGCACGTAGCAGTGCTTCTGCAGTGAAAAGAGGGGCTTGTAGCATGTCAGCTGTCTCCACTATCAGCATGTCCTTCAGCTTCCGAAGATCCTGTGGCCGCAGGCCCTCGTACAACTAGAGTAAAGGGTTGACAAGAACATAATAAGAGAGGAAATGTAAGGACAAAGATAAGAAGTAAAAGGAAAAAAAAAGACAGGTTGTCAGAGAAAGGTAAAGAAAGAGACAAGAGGACAACAGTGGGTGAGATTGGGGAAAAGGGTGATGGGTGAAATAATGGTAGGAAAGAAAGATTGTGAAAAAATGGGAAGAGAAAATAAAGAGAAAATAAGTACTACAACCACCTGAAACATAAATGATTGCTGACACAGGACTTAGCCAGACCCAGAGAACTAAAACTGATGATGATGATCACATGTTTTAAGCTAGACTGTTTTGTGTGAGTAATTTGTGAGTCTGTTTGTGTCCAACCAAAACAAGTTCAAGTAAAGAATGTGACTAACTCCTGCAAAAATGTAAACACTGAAATACAGTCAACTAGTGGATTTTTCCAAGAGCAAAGTTACCATCATATGTTGCTTCTATTCCTTACTTATGTAGCTAAAGGGTTATAAGGACGAATCAAGTGTAACAATACAGAAGCTGTGTGGGATCAGCCAGGCTAGGATGACCAGGGTAGCTCATTTAAAACAGTTTGACCTAATTCAGCAACAACAGTGAAATTACTTTTTGGGGGGATTTTTTAAACAGCATGCTGTGGACTAAAGTTTGGTTCTAATAACATTTTAAGTCACACCAGCTGAGGGTGATAAACTGAAAGCTATACACCCACTCCTTGTTGGTGTGTTATACTGTACCTCTCTTCGATCTAGGGCTGCATATTCTGCCTCAATACCCTCTGCCTCAGGGGCAAGAGAGAAGACCATCTGCGACTCCAGGCGCAGGGCCAACTCCTTGTGGTGCTGCTTCTCTGCAGAGTCACATGGAGTCTCGCGGTTTTCATTCTCCGCAAACAAGTCCGCTTCTCTCTGCACCAGCATCTGAGCACGAAGAAACAAGAGGAATATCTGGCATTGAACAATGGCACACATCGTGCATTCAAGAACAGATACTAAAGCTCGCTGACTATATATGTAGTTCCAAACACCTGTGATTACTTGCACAGTGGAGTACCACTCACCCTGTAACAGTAATCAGAGGAAAGTATCCACAATTAAGGCATGAAACAGTAATTACAGTTATTTTGATATAGACTGCAATTATGACTTCAGTAAAAAAAAAAAAAAAATAGCAACAACTTACCCACCTTGAGAAAACTGAAAAAGAGTTCACTTATATCCACTTTACTTCAAAGTTCTTTGTAGAGTATGGCACACTAAGTCTTGATGATCAAGTGCCAATTAAAGGAGCTCAGGTAATATTGAGAGCAGTACAAGAAAAACACACACGTTAATAATGTGTCTTTTGGGGGGTGGTGGCTTCTGTTGGTAACTGTCATTTCTGTGCTTGAGTCTACTTTTTTAAACTGTCTGTGAATGGCATTTCTTGACACCCTGGAAGTAGGGTGTCTCTTTTTCTGTCACAACATACCTGTCTGCATCGCCAGCCTCGACATTATGTTCTGCACATGGTGCAAATTGCATTTTGTAATAAACTGCATGGATTCTGGGGGGAAATTAGAGTGAAGGCAACAATAATATTTCTATAATGAAGAGTCATCTAAATAAATGACAGTGTGCAGAAATGCGATCATTTAAAATTAGTACCAGCTGTACAGCAGTTCTTTCTGGGGATTTCCCAACTATTGGCTGCTTGCCTTTCCTGAAGCACATTTTAAGAGCAGCATTTGTAATTTTGTTCTATTACATGCAATAACAATAAAGTCACGCGTAATCTATTTGACTGTTATATCTGGTGTGAGCTGTCCAGGAGATTAATTAAGTTGTACCGTGTTCCACAGCATCTTCCAAAAACTCACCAGCGAGGGCGAATGAGAAGATGCAAATTACAGTTCCCTACCGAAGGTCAAGATTGACTCTAGGACAAGGCCACACGTGAGGATCTATTCTACAAATATTCATTACACAAAAGAGCAGACACTGAATGATGTGTGTGAGCATCAGAGTTACTCTGGTCTCATTTATTATCCTTCCCCTCATATACTCTCTGCCCTTGTCTTAGTGAAACTGGTCAGTTTACAGCTACAGAGGCTTTGATCATAACCCCCCAAAAATTTCACACTTAAGAAAATTTTACACTAGCCCAGAGAAAATATCTGCAATATCTTTTTATTATAATCTCACCTCAACACAAGTCTTCATGCCTGAGGCAGCAGCATAGTGTAGGCAAGTGTTTTTCTTGTTGTCAGTGGCATTGACATCAGCCCTTTCATACTCTCCATGATCCAGCTTAGCTCCTGTCCATGCTAGCACGATCTGAAGGCATTCCCCTCGTCGCTGTTCGTCTTCGTATGGCCTTGAGATGCGGGGATGCAAAGCTCCCTCTGAAGTCAGGATCTGAGGCCCCATGCAGAGAAGGTGCAGAGATGTCTCATTGTGCACGTTGCGCTTGTTAGGATTGCCATCTTTGCTTAGGAGAAAAGACCTAAAAGAGAATAACAACATGACAAGATGGTTAAATTGTAATGTGTTGTCTTTTGTGGGATACTGTCAACAGACTGCAAATTCTTATGACATCAGTGCTGATTCAGAACGTAAACATGATTTTTTTTTTAAGATAAAAAAACACGAGTTATGCATAGTGCATGTAGCTTTTCGTGTAACTGAATATTTTACAGCATTTTAACTTAAGAAACTGCACAATATTCTAAAAAAGGAGAGCTGTATACTGCAACGCAGGTCAATTCCTTCCCAAAATAGTTTAGATTTCAACATTTCATTGCTTTTGTGAAAACCATAAACTAGAATTATAGCTATACAACCAGTTATATGACTTAAACTACTGTTCTTGTTTTTTTAAGAGTAAGGCCAGAGTGGGATAAAAACAAGCACAGTCTGCACTGTTAGCTTGTCAGATAGGAAGCTCTTGGAACGTCATTCTATTCCAGCTCAGCATGTTGCATTCCTGAGAGCTGCTAACAGATGGCTATGTAGAGACACAGATGGGACAGAGACATATAGAGAAAAAAAAACATGAAAAAAGAAAAACTGAATTTTAAAATACAGCAAAAGTGAAAAGATGGAATAAGCTGCCATTGAGTGATAAAAAAAGAGAAGAAGTCAGGTTAAGGGTTACTAGACATAAAGCTTGAGAACCATCTAAGACCCAATCATTATCAGGCCCTGTCAGAATAACAATTTTTCCTCACTGACAACACTCAAAAATATGAAGTATACATTCTGTCTGCTTGCGTATTTGTTTTTATTTGGGCCATATCCTAACCTGAGTAGGCGTGTCATGGCGTGCCGGGCAGCATAGTGCAGTGGAGTGTTGTGCTGATAGGACTCTCCATATGTAGAGTTGGGATCTAGAGCGTCCTTGAACTGTGGGTTGCTCTCATACAGTTGGCAAGCCAGCAGTTCATCTCCATTGATGAGAGCCTTACGGAACTTGGTCGCTGTGTTCCCCATTTCGTCCCCTACCGTGGGTCCAAAGGTCTGACTGGGACAGCAGCCTCTTAAGTCGTCTTCCACCTGTTCAAGTCCAATAAGCCAGCATACTGCATGTCCTAATAAAAAGACAAAAAATTGGAGTAAAACGTCTTTATGCCTGAGCCCAACAAGGCTCTTCAAGCGAGAAAATGTTCAAGAGGTTTGTCGGTCATACAAGTCTCCACATCATCCCAATAAATCAAAAGTATTTTCACCAGTTTCAGGAAAAGCAACTTTGCCTCGTTTTGTACAGCTGACTTCCACTCCCTCTGGTCACAAAACAAGAATTCAGTCTTTAAGGGTGCTCGGGGTGCTCTGCCACAAGCTCCTGCGTCAGCATCACCACTGCACTGTAAACCAGCTCCCTGTTTCTCTTTTTATTTTTTCGAATTTATTTATATATTTTTTTTGAATACCTAAACATAGTGAGGACAAAGCCCACACAGAGATGGACAAGGCTTCCTCTGGCATCACCAGGAGTTTCCGCTTCACTGTGCCAAAGCTACTCATCCCACTGAGGCCAGGGCTCATTATGAAGCAAGATATCCTCAACTGAAGAATAGCACACAGCAAGTCCGCTTTCCGCTTCCACCAGGGCACCATATGGTCACGACCGTCAGGGCAATGTGATACCTTTATGTATTTTTAGTAAGCGGCAGCAGACCGAACACAGGACACAGCATAATTTGTTTTTATAATAACACGCATTCAATTTCCCAATAACAAAATTCTCACTGGTGGAGACAAGTTATGTGTGCAATGGAAGGAATGAATACTCACCGAAAATCCCCATCTCCCATTAATACCAAGCATTCCATAGGTTAGTAAGTAACTGAAGACAGCTAACTATTTGCGCTGTTATATAAACAGAGTCAAGACCGTGGACAGGTCTGACACACTGGTCTAATCAGTCAATCTTTAAACTAAGTAAGGAAGATAAGAGTGAGACCTTTGGTAGTCTTCTGGGAAAGTGTGTTATTAACTGTAACAAAACGAATACCAAAGTTATGACGTGGTTATCTATTCATCAATTAGAATAGCAATATGGCACAGACGTGTTTTCACTCTTTAGTAAGATTGGTAGAATGGAGACAGGTGGAAAATAAACAAGTATTACATATATGAATGATTTATCATTTATTCAGTTGGTAAATACTGTCTACATTTACGTGTGCTAATATCGACCATTTTAACATATGAAATCATCCCCTGCCATCATTGTCGTACATTTAAATAACGCTATCCATCATGTAAACAGACCAGCCAGTGGAAGTGAACACCACCTTAGATCAGGCGTGTGCCATGTGATTACCCCAGTGGCCAGACACCATCACAAAGCAAGACAAACAGTATGCCACCTTGGCATACAAAAAAAGCAAGAAAGAAAAACACCTGATCTTTGAACAGTTATATAATCTCATAGTTTGTAACACATATAACTCGACGAGCTTGCTCTCTAAATGAATAACTACAGCATTAACCTATCTTACAACAGTCAACGACACTCCCCCGTTACAGCTTCAACCAACCACATCTAACTAAAGCTCACAGCAACAGCTAGCGTTAACATGAGAAAAATAAAAACGTTATTCCACGTAGCCGCCACTTGTCACTAAACTACTTCATGCAGGCCTGTATCCACGTCGTGTGGTGTTTACCATTTTCGCTAGCAGAAAATCGACGACAGCGTGTCATGTTGTGTTAATGAACAGACCCCGATAACGCTTTGTTCCACTGCTGGTTAAAAATAAAACCAATCTGCCGACAACCAACCTTAGAAAACGTTAGCTGCAAACCATTCCTTTTGTCGATAATGCCACTGGTACTGACAAAACACTCTGCTGCTTTGCTAGCTATATAATATTCAAAAACAAAAAACCTCATGACGCTAGCATCTGCGTTGACCAACGTCAGTGTACACGCTAGAGGCTGGCTGAGCTAGCGTGCTAATCTCGATGCTAGCCAACTTGACGGTAGCAAGTACAGTTGAAAAACTCCGTAAACAATGAATAACAAGTATTTCGACTTACACTGATTGTACATCTTGCTGTTGTACACCTGGCCTTGTGAGTGAATTGTCAGTCGCAAAGGGTAAAGCAAAGAGTTTTCTCGTTATGTGGGGGCAAACCTGTATAAACAATGTGAGCTATGCGCTGTGCTGTTGCCCCAGTCAACTCTCCGTTGACTCTGGTGGCTCCTGCTGGATACTAGTCGGGTTGCCAGGTTTCAAAACAGCCCCCTAAAACAGGCGAGAAAGACGTGGCCGGCTTATTTTTCAAAGCCTAAGCTTTGCTTTAACATTAATTTCAACCAAGTGCATGTTTTTTTTTAGTTTAGTTTAGTTTGTTTTTGTTTTTTTTACCCTTAGAAACTACAGCTATTTACACCTTCATAAAGCCGGGCATCATATCTGAAGCGGAAATAGGTAAGATAAGTAGGGCGTACGCGCTTACACTAACGGAAAAATACCTGAAATCTTTCTAAAACGGGTAAATCTATAAACACTTCTGCTTTAGGCTTCTCTGGAGTGAACATGGGATGGAGTAGACGTTCAACTCAACAGGCTAATCATTTGTAATAGCCGCCATTACAGAAAAAGACCACTAGAGTGCGCCAAAGTCCGCAGAAAAAAATCACACTGCTGAGTGGCGCCGTTCTTCATTTTTCATCTCCTACACACGCCTCGTGAGTAATTGCAGAAAGTATTTCTCAGTTGCATTCACAACCTACACCAAACAAATACTAAATGCACAGTACACTGTATTTAAGCAGAGGCTTAGCGGTCTCCACTCACTTGAAATAACCACATCGAAACTCAACATAACATGTGTGCCTTTTATTATCAAATAGTTGAACTTTGCATTTAAGGTATATACAGCATATTGTTCTCATATATTTAAGAATGCACACATTTCATATGAACAGGCCTTCAATATATAATCTGTAAACACATAGCTTAATCTCAGTGTAAGGGTAGATACATAAATGTATGCAACAATGAAATGTAACACACTTTTTAAAAAACAAAAAACAAAAAACAAAAAAAACAGGGCACCTTAAACGAATGCTTTGGCACTTTGTAAATTTCAGTTCAATAAAAGGGGAGTTAAAAAATATATATATATATGGTTTGGGAACAAACAAAAAGCCTTAAGGCGGAGACGCTCATCGTACCACGTGCATTTCTTGTAATGCCATAATTTTTCTTCATCATTTTCTGTCTTGCCACAAAAGAAACAAAAAGACATTTATCACTGCCAACACAAAATAAGGGTCTTCATATAACAAAAACAACAACAACAAAAAAAAAAATGCTAAAACAATATTTCTCATTCATGGTAGCAGATGAAGACCAAACAAACGTTTAAGGGTTTGTGTAAAATGGATAGTAAGCTGCCATGCTTTTGGATGGGGGGGCTTCCTTGCTGTAGCCATTGTTGGTGGGAACAGAGACCAAGTCCTCACACTTGGTGTTGCTGGAGGAGTCCTCCGTGCTTGCACCATTGAGAGACACGCGCCTTCTTTTGCAGCCCAGAGAATAGGAATTGGTCTTGTCTAAGGAAAGAGCTGATGGTTGTGGGTCTGTCCAGGAGCTGATCAGGGCTCCGCTACCATTCACCTCCTCTTCCATCTGTGCTTTAACCTTTTCTGAGTCTTCTGGGAAACTGGCAGTGGGGCTGGGTCTGGGGGACCAAGGCAGACTGGATGTGACTTTTCTTTGGTATGCTGCTCTAGACCCCCACCCTGCAGACATTGTAGTAAACGGGGAGTCTGGGTAGTAGCTAAGAGCGTGAGAAGTAGGCATGGGCAGTGATTTGATACCATAAGGAAGCAGGGAACTTGAATATTCTCCCTCATAGGGTGTCAGATCTAGCTTGTTGGTGGTGCTACTGCTACTTCCCCCTTGCTGCACTGAGGTGACAAACCACCTCTGCGAAGCTGCGTCTTCTGACTGAGGCGAGAGGAGGCTGTTAGTCTGCGGTACAGCTCTCTCACTGTTGTAGAAGCGATTCTGAGGAAGGTTGTTGACAAACTGATCCTGGAAGAGGGGCTGCATCGCGTAGCGGGTGCCAGGGACAATCTGGTGGGCACGGGGAGAGTCCGTAGGAGACGGCGTAAGGCGGTCATTCTCTGGAGCTGTGTACATCCTAAAAATTAAATAAATAAATGTACTTATGAGACATGAGGTCAAGACAGTTCAATGTGAAAGTTCTTTCACAATTAGTTAGTGTAGCCACAGTATGATGTATTTGTTTGCTTTGAAAGAGATGCACAGCAATGTAAGCGCATAGAAAATACTCACGAATCATAATTGTCTCTGAATCCTTTGGCAAAAGGGTTGTGATCAATTTTCAGCTGCGTGATCTAAAACAAGGCACAGCCGAAGGTTAAGCTACATTTTAGATTTGGAAAAGCAAAGAATAAAGGAGCATCATGCTTGTGTAGCTATAGACCTCATGTTTAGCTTGCTTTGGAAAACTGTGGCTGATTAAAGTTAGAAATGGCTTCCCATGCCAACTGAACAAGTTTTAATAAATGGGAATTCTAAACTGATTAAAAAGCTATAATATGCAGTATGTAAATAATTAAATATAATGCATGCATACGGCTCTGAGGACCTATTAATGGGAGCTTATATCTAAAATAAAATTTAAAAAAAAAAACAAAAACAAAAAACAACAACCACCAAGGGAGGCCGGAGTTTTTCCACACTTACATCCGTGTTCTGGTAGGCAGTCACTGCTATAAACTGAGTCTCTGGAAAAGTAAAGCACTGGGTCTTAAGGTCACTGTTAAGGTCTTCCACTCCATCCTCTGTCACCTCCACAATGTGCAGCCTTGGCTGGTACTTATGCAGGGATTGCAGAACAATCATCTATTGCGTAAAAAATAATAATAATAATAATGATAATTTTGAAAAAAAAATTAAAGCACTCGATAATGTCCAACGTCACCGCTATTCACAAAAAAAATTAAAATCTATAAAAGCTTCAGTGAATAACTTTGTGTCCTGCAATTATATGACTTAAGCATTATTTTTGCACTACTGTAGTTTAATTTCATCACATCATCTTTGCATAGACACAAAAATATCTAAACTAATTTCCTTCCTAGCACAAATTAAAAAAAACAAAACAAACAATGTAGTTAGCTCTTCAAGTCTGAATTAGTCCGAATACAAAACGCTTTCATTGTGCCACATTAATTATCAAGGTGCCAATAAACAAAATATAGTAAAAGTACATCACTACAGTATATATTAAACAGACTAATCTATATTGAAAACAACAACTGAATGAAGGTTTGGTGTAATGGAAAATGTTTTGTCATTTACAACCTATTTTGAGGGTTACAGGCCTTTAGTTATTTTCAGCTTTGAGTTTAGTACCTGTGAAGTATTGTGGCTCGTCCCTTTGTTGTTTGTGAGTTTCAGTTTACTGAAGGAGATTTCTTGTCTCATCCAGTGAGCCCCTGTGTTTGGGGACTCCGGGTGGATATAGATTTTGTTCCCTTAAATAAAGAGAAATACATTTTCCAATATTTAAACTCAAGATTTCCAAAACAAATTACACAAAATTCTACTGAAAACATGGGACTTTCCATTAGGAAAAGCTGGGGAACCCATTTTTTGCTCCATGGCCTAGTTGAGAAGTTAGGGTTAGGCTATAAAATAAGCGAATTTCTTTTTCTTTGTTTGTCTTTTTTTTTTTTTTTTTTAAACAGAAAAAAAAAGTCTTTTGGGGGATGAAATTGTCTTAAATCCGGGTGAATTTTGCTTTTAAATCGCAGGGGAAATGTTTAATTCAACTCAGTTTAAAATATATTTCTTTTAAAAAAAAAAAGAAAAAGAAAGAAAGAAAATAGGCACTATGTACCCTTTTCGGTACCTTGGCTGCTGTTGTCCGCTTTCCCACAGGTGACCCACTTTCCCCCCTGAAATCTCCAGTGGTTTGGATCCGCAAGCACCACTTCCACAAACACGTTATAATGCGCTGTCACACTGAGACCAGCTATGTTAAAGCTGAGGAAAGGGAACATCCGTCTGCAAAAAACAGAGAGGGAGGATTCAAAGAAACAGAACATTAAAATAAATATTTTGCTAATAAAGAAGAAGAAGAAGAAAAGGAACATAAGAGAAACTGACAGACAGTTAAAGGAAATTAAAGGGAAAAGCTTCGGCTCTAACTTTGCACACTTTTCCTGCCATCTCACCTGCCCTGCTTGGTGATGATCATCTCTGTCTGGTGTCGGTGGAACTTGAGCCATAGAGGTCGGTTGCAGAGATAAACCTGGGACCTCACCCCCGGGCCGGTGGTGGCGGGGGGTAGAGCCATGTTACCGAGAGCGGAGCCCGAGCTGGTGTATGGAGGGTAGATGCAGCCGGGACTCTGTCCGAGCTGGTAAGTGGGACTAATGTGACTGCGCCCGGGGGCTGAGGGAGGGAATCCGGCCGGTTGCAACACGGAGCCCAGGTGCAGTGATGAGGGATACCTTCCAGCACTGGACGGTGTGTAAACCGCCCCGCTGGGGGTGTAGGGGATAAAAGAGCAATGACTGGCTGCTTCGGGACTTTGCTTAGAAATAGCGGATGGGATATAGTACCGGTCAGCACTCATCCCGTGCTCCGTGTACCTGTTGCTAACAACCGGATCATCCCCCTCCACAGCCGGAGACTTGCGCCTCTCATCTGCCGTGTCTTTGGAAGAAGAATATGAACTGCTCTCTCCTTCACTCCCGAGCATCTTTGCTTTTCTCTTGGTTTGGGCTCAGCTGATGTTGCTCTCTATCAGGGATGTCACCTTCCCTTCTTTTCCTTTCAGGTGTCTGCTCCTAAAAACAGGCTCCCCTGCAAACATCCACTGGATTCTGAATGACTGAGACAGACGGAAGCAAACAGTGGTTACAAAAAGACCTGAAGTTGTCCCTAATACACATCTCAAGCTGTCAAGTCGCATACACAGTGAGACGGTTGCAGGAAATGACCTCCATATCACCGGAGATATTTGTGGGCGTACCAGGGTGTGGTTGTGAAGTATGTGAAGTCAGTCTTAAAGTGCTGGATTTCAGTTGTCGTGGTCTCCCCAAAAATAGTAACTTTACTGAAAACAAGGCTCTTTTTTGTTGCCATTTTCCCCCCTCTTACTTTTTCCTCCGCTGTTTTAAAAACACGATTAGCTAATCAATTAGCCCTAAATGCGTTCCAGTGCGGCTCATATACTACACGTTTTATTCGATTTTATTTGCTCTTTGATGATATACTGCATTCACAAGTTCAATAGTTCGGCTATAATAATTAAAAGAAAATGATATAAGTGCAACTGAGTAGCTCAGGATTTACTGTTATTGGAAATACTGGAGCGATATTAACAAGCTCGCTGGGACTCGCTTCGAGGTAAGAGCCAATTTCTTGTAAATCATATGACAAACGTGAAGCAATGCACAGATTTACGGGGGTAGACGTGAAACTCGCCCGCGAGTTTTGAAAGTCGTAGCGTTTTCAGTATCAAAACTAAATAAAATTGCAGATTTGTCCGACCTAAATATATTCCGATGGAAACGAATATTTATTCAATTTAATGCTATCCAACAAAAACAAATAATTTGAACAAAAATGTATGCATGTTTATTTTATTGTTTTTAATGTAGGCCTACTTCTCAGAGGAGTAATAACACTAATAATAGCAGTTAAATCGTGAAGATTCATTTTACGTGTAAATAAATAATACTATCAGTATTCAGAGGTAATGGATTTGCATGCATTCAGTTCGAATGAGGTTGTGTCCCAACGGGATGGCCGACGTGAAAAAGAAAAATAGCCAATTATTTTTCCGTTTGAAGAAACCTGTGATGCTTCTTGGATCAGACAGTCGGATGTGAGAAACCAAAAGAACCGGAATTAAACGATATTAATACAGAGGTGGGTGGGAGAAGAAATGCAAATAAACCAGACACTAGAAACTTATTTACTGTGGATTAATTCGTTGCAGGCTGAATAAATAAGTTGTTTGTTGCATTTATTGCACATTTAAATGTAAAATAAAGCTTTATCATCATAATAAATAATAATAATAATAAATTCTGCAAATGTATTAGTTGCATTTGAAAATATATATAATTGTATTTGCAAACTTACCAAGCCTCCAGGGTCCTCCGGTGTTTCTAATTAAAAAGCTTCAAGACAAGAAAGTATTAAAAACTTAAGACAAAATCAGTACAGATAACCGGTGAAGCTGTAAACAGCAAACGGCATCATGCTGCGTTTGTGTCCGGAAAAATAATAATAAGGCAGCAGAGTTTATAATAAAACCGGAGCCATGCGGAGGCGGACTGATCGGAGCGCAGAGACGCAGTCCCGCTTTCACCGCTGCTCTCTCCTTGTGGCCATGACGCGCAGACAGCAGCCTCTTTTATCAGATCTCCCTCCGATCACCAGGGGAGGGGCAGGGGATCCTCAGCATCACAGCCAAGGTGTGTAAAAGCGAAGCTGCTTCCAAATCCAGCCGTGAATTGCTCCCATCTTCTAATCTTAAACAAAGACATCAGCAGAATAAAATAACAGGGCAAAGTCAGTTGTGCTGGGCTTATGGCAACCTGAGTGTGTTAGAGAGTCATATAGGTAATAAGGTGACTGATTGTGAAAGTTGTTGTCTATGAAGAAAAGAGATGAGGGATTTGGAGTCTTTGTCAACATACCACACTGAAGTTTTAGATGAGAGATACATGAAATTAGCAACACCCAAGAAAAGTGAGTAAAAGTAAACTCAGATAACCGGGCAGTCCACGTTTTAACCAGCAGTGGTATATGAAACATGTCAGAGTATAAAGAAGCTGTTTACCATTATGAACATGATAAATGTTTTTGTTTTGGTTTGGGGTTTTTTTTCTCCTGGATAACAGCATGTATGAAAAGCACTTCTGCAGAGGTTACAGATACTCTATTTGCTCAGCGCTAATGTGCTAATGAGGATGGAGAGTGAGGAGCCCCACCTATAAGAGCAACCAAGTGAAGAGGGTCATATTGCTGCTTTGAGATTTAGTCATAACTGAGCTAAATAAATATATGAGATAGAAAGACATTCATGTCTTTCAACCTAAGTGACGCTGGAGCCAAAGGTAATTTTATTCCACATATCTGCAGAAGGAGACGTTTACCGTGGAATTCACATACAAATCTACCTCTTGACTGTCTCCTTTGTAAAAGTAAAAGGCCATAAAACTCAGAGGAGGCTCGTGTAAGATTGTTTCCTCTCTTTGACTTTTTTTTTTGTCTTTCCACTTTTAAGTTCAAAGGAAAAAATCCAATCCAGACCTTGACTCATGCTGAGTTACCATTTCAATGGCACACCTTTTCAACGTCTTAAATGCCCACTCGTTTCTCCTCAGTAGACAACACTTGGTTGGAAGTTAACATGACAAAGACAAAGTGAGAGGATTAGTGAAGCGGCTGAACTCACCACACATCAAACAGGACAAATGAAAACTATCTTAATTGCAAACAGTGGAATACGCTTCTGTTGTTTGTGCTGATAAACGGATTGATTTGTTTTGATTGTTTCACGGAACCGATGAATATGGAGGTAGAATTCACAGTTTTTTTGGTCTTAGGTTTCTGTGGCACTAAACTTCCTCTGAACTTAAAGTATTTCCACCCGGCTAACTGTTTCCATCTTCACCAGCCATACAACAGGCTTGATTGAACTTATTTTTTTATAATTGTTAGTATATATTACTCCCCAAATAGATCATTTTCTAAGGTATTTTTTAAAAAGGCCACTCTCTTTGTAGTGCCGCTTTGTAGTGATTTAAAATTAAAAGAAAACTTAATTGAACTTTCTTCCCATTTACTTTCTCTTTCTCAATTTAGCATACTATCAATCTGACACAGCAACACATGTGATCACCTGTTTTGATGGTAAAATCTATGAGTCACAAGTGAGAAAGCAGATTCTCGAAAAGTTTCTAAATATACTTCTATTTTTCCCAGGAGTGCAGGGACTTGCACATTGACGTGTGAGGAACAGTAAAAGAAGAGAGAAAAAAAGGCATTACCTGCCTTTAAAATCTTCTCCTTCTGGCAAGAAAAATGTGCCTCTATGTATTTTATATAGTTGGATGTTTAACCTTATGGAGGGCGATGTGTATGTGCAGTGTTTGATACTCAGAGGGTGTTTTCACACTCATGCGCTGAAGGAGGAATGCATGTCAGCATTCAGATTAACCATCAGTTCAACATAATGCATTTTTAAAAAATCTAATAATTAAAAATGCGGTTTTGTGGCATCATGAATTTCGAGCCAGTGAGCATAAAGTGAAATTCTGAATATTTTAAAGAACTGTTAAAATACTGACTAAAAATGTTGTTCAAAGTAGATTACTTGTGTATTTTTAATCAAATGAGTTTATCTCATTGCAAAAACATACTTCAATGATTTTATTACACCATGCAGCTACCTTATTGTTATGTGTCACTGGGCCGATCGTCTGTGGAATAGCCTCACTCTCTGTCACGCTCAGTGAACACCTTCCCCTAGCTGTGCCTCCTGTTTGACACGTCTAAAGGGCTGTTTCTGACATCTTGCCATTCTGCTGGTTCCCCCTCCCTGCAGCGCTCGTGCATGCGGGAGGAAAAAAGCTGGTGACCTGGCCATTGCTGCCTTGCCCTAGGCCACTGCCACCCTGCTGGCAGCAGAACGTCTGCTGGTCTGAGGCCATGCCAGGAACCCTGCCCACCATGGCTTGTGATGTCACGACAGTTTCTGTCTCAGACAAAAGCTTTGATTGGCTCAGAGGGTTTGTATTTCTCACTTTCTGGGAACTGCCCTCTCGGCACTTCACAGACATAGAAATCAAATTAATTATCACTTTAATTGAATGTAATCTCAGCTTTCTGTCCTCTATAGCTGATCAGCTGCATTCCCAGATCATACAGGAAACCAGAAATATGTTCTCCGCGCACATATGGGATGTAATTTGCATATTGGATGGGGAGTTAGTACTGCATGAAAAGTTTTTTTTCACCAGATCCAAAGTAAACTTTTACATACATATCTAAATCCATCTGTAACAAAAATATTTATATATCTTAACAGTAGATATTGCAGACACAGCTATACTGAGCACAATGATGACTAGATAGATGGCTGATAGCTATTTCCTAGAGGATAGTCCTCTCTAATACAGTCACCAGTAAGGATTGTTATAGCAGGGTTTAATTGGACATCTAGCTACACGTTTCCTCTTTCCTCCCCTTTGCTTACATTTATGGTTTGGTCCTACATCCTGTTAAGAGCAGCAGCAGGAGTGGACCATCACATTTGGTGCTCAGCGTGGGGGCAGTTGGGGGAACTGTCATGTTCCAGCTATCCCACGGAGATGCACTTCTGCCTCTCTGTGAAGATTTGGTGGGTTCTCATTTGCATTTGCTAATGAGATCCCGTTTGCATGACTTTATACTGCGAGGCTATCTCTCTGAATATCTCTTTACAAATACAGGAGGTGGATGAAGTCCTGTTTATTTAACCTTTATTTACCAATTAGTCCCATTGGGAAGTCTTTTTTGGGGGGCAAAACACCGGCATGGTAAAGTAGTGGAGACAAATTATTTGACAAATCACACCATCTTAATATGTGAGTGGACGTGCTTTTACTTTTGGTTTCTAAAAGCGGGTGTTTCTCAGGAACCATGCTGTAATCTATCACCTTCACTTTGAGTCAGTGAAGTAACGTTTGTAACAGCTTCACGGTGATACTATTAATGCTTTTGTGCTGTCTGTCAACAAAGGTTATGTCTCCATGAACATGTAGTGCTAAGCTATCCTAGTCTGCGAAATGTGTCCAAACCAAAAGTTAAACACCTGTTATTTCTTGACTTTTATCGCTGGCATTTACAACAGCAGAGAATAAGAGGGCTCCGAGTCTCTGCCCTTGCCAGTCCGCCCCATTCACAACTTCCCACGCGTGCTTCATCTTCCCAGAAGCTTTCCTCAGCCAAGACCCATGACTTCCAAAATCACCTATCTGATGGGACGTTCTTAAAGTCGCAGGCCAAAAGCAATTAAGCCCTGTTTAGAGTGCAACGTTATTATCACCCAATCTGTACTGTTAAGAATTTCTGCCCACCAATCTGCCAGTGTCAGCAGCCCCAAAAGATAAGCACATTTGGTCCTGGGTCACAATCGAGAGCTGAATCCTCAGAGGCTGATGCATTTAAGATCATAAGCAAAAGTAACAAGGGAAATTAAAATGGCCTCAAAGAAGCCTTTACTGATGAGTGCACTCTTTGTTTCGTTTTTGAGGGAAAGTGGTTAGAATGACTAAGTCTTTACCGCACATATTAAAGCGACAACTGTTCTTGCTGCTTGGGTGCTGCTGAACGAAAGATTGCACACTAACCACTTAAAGGTAGCGGATCTCTCATCTGTGTCATTAAGACAACGATAGGTCGAACTGAGCGTAGCAGCGCTGCAGGAAAAGATTGGGTTTAACGATCAGCTGTTATGTACAAATTCTCTCATCAAACTCGATCTGTACACAGAGTGCACATCGAGATCTCCATATTTATCGACATAATAACAGTTAAAATAAATAAATAAATAAAAACCTCTGTATTTTTTAGAAAAGTGGCCCTCTCCAGCGAGGTGGAAAGAATATTTTCTGCATTATGTCCCCTCTCATAACAGACAAACAGGACCCAGAGTGTGTTTTTTCCTCATATGGGGAATCTGCTGACTGTGGTATCACATTATGATTAACAATTTAACTATGATCCCCGTCTTTCCCATTGTTATTCCACAGATGACTGGGAGTAAGGGCGAAATGCCAGCGACGGCACGCAGGCTTCATTAGATTCATTGATTGATTTATTGTTTTCCATGGTTGTAATCACTTCCCCCAAGGTAATTTGTGAGCTCTTTATGGTTCAGAGGTATAATCCTGAGAGTTAATTAATCGGCTTTGTTTAGAAGTTTGGAAGTAGAAATGAACCTCGGAATTGGTAACAGCTAGGAACAAAACTGCATGTGTGACTTAGAATTCCTTGTTTACCACCACAAAGGATCAAAACTAAGAAGGTAATAATTAGATTGGGGGTGATTTGTAGATCTTTTGCATTTACCTTCAGCCCTCTTTACCCGTTTTTTTTTTTTAACTTGACAAATCCAAAGTTGGAAATTTGCCATATCTTGGAAATCTCCAGATTTTTAATTAAAACCACTTGTTACGGACTTTAGCACACAATAAAGAATCACTAGCACTAGACAGTTTAATGACAAATCAGTGTAAATTATTCATGAAATTGAAACACAATTCAAAATTGAAAGCACTGAAATTCACAAAATATGTTCAAATATTTGCAGAAAGCGGCATTTGTACAGCATGTTCTTACTTCTAG